GCTCGAGATTGTTATTGTTTACATTTCTATTGAAAACACCATCCATACGAAGCCAGTTAAAATAGTTCGAGGGAAAAATAACTAGAGATGAAAATAGTTAGAGAGTAGTCTAGGTGGCGGAGTTCATCAGCAAGTGGGCCACTCTCACTAAATGCTTTTAATGCACTTCTGATAGCCACAAAGAAAAATGGAAAGCTTGATTAGTGCGTTTTTTAAAATATTTTTCACCAATCAGGTTCTAATTTTCCCTTGAAGGGGTGATCAGAAATGCATGAACAACATTCAGTGAGAGTGGCCCTTAAAATTTCATAACAAGCTTAAATTTGTAATTTAAAATCAAAACAAAGTGAAAGGTTTATTATTTTTTTTTCTGGTTCAAGATTAAATATTCCAATTCGAAGATTTAATCCTTTGACGTAGATGGAACACTGGTATCCCATTTTATGCATTTTTTTTCCGCCGTTCCAATTACAAATAAAAATATACTTTATTGTTTTTTAGTTATAAAAAAAGGTTTAAGCGTTACAAAAAAAACTTATTAAATTATCGGAATTATACTTATACTAAAAATATAAAATAAAAAAGGAGTTTTAATATTTATTTTTTTCATTCATATTCAAAAATTTATCAATAATTTATTTTGGAAAATACGAAATTTGAATGATGAATAACTGTTTCTCACAGATCTAATTAAGTGCAAGTTTGAAAGATTATTGTTTGAAAGTGAGCCGTGTTGCAAAAATTTAACCTTTAACCAAAAAAAAAAGTTTTACGTTATTTTTATAACTATAAATTATGAAATTGTTAAATATAATATTTTTTCACCTAATTTGACCAAAATTAATACAGAATTTTGAAAAATGTGTTTAAAAATTCTATGTAAATTTCTACAATGGACTTTAACAACTAATTGCTTTTGATCACCACAATTTTACGAAATATTTACACGTTTTCAAGAGGTGTGATGAGTGTAACTTCAAAAGAATGATATTATATAATTTAGCACATTTAAGAAATATTATTTCGGCTACATTTCTTAGACTGTTTTACTTACACTCATAAGCCTAAAATTGATAGCTAATTTTGGTGGTCATGCTGCCTTCGGCAAGATTGTGGAATATTATTACCTAATACGATTCACGCCAAACATTTGCACGCGTTTGTAAGAGCTCTCTTTCCCTGATTTCTTAGAACTTACGTGTGGAAACTTTAAATTGACGGAAGAGAGGAGATTGAATCGCGATCAAAATCTCGCCCACTCCAACAATAGCAATATAACTCAGTCTGTCGTTCGATCACATTATCAACCAATATTTTGCCTCGATAGAACATGAGTATACTATATAATAACAAATATATATTAGTGGATTCATTTTTGAGCCCTAGTTGTGTCAAGTTAAAATTCAGGTTAAAATTCATAACAGGGAATCCGTAACTCCCATCCACAGCATTATACTTAACATGCTACGGAGGCTCAAAATACTTGAAATAGGTCGTTGCACTCAAAATTTTAAATTTATTAAAAATTAGTGCTGAAATAACTATTAAATAAATATCAAAATTAGTGCTCGCCTTAGTAAAAATTTGAAAAATTAAAAACTTCACGATAAAAAGTTTTAGTTAAAGATTTAAAAAAACTGCCTCTGAAAGGGCACGCATAGTTCACACAGCTTCAACTTCGTAGCTATACGTGATCTCGTCTGTATTACTGTAGTTGCGCCATACACGCATACATAAATTGTTTATTTTATTAATTGTCATAAATATTTTATTACACGTATATGCAACATGCACTTTAATAATTGCCTCTGTGTTTGCTTGAAATTAAAAAAATTAGCTTTAGCCCCCTTAGTAATTTCATGAGATTTTTGAGGGGGGGGGGAAATCTTAATTATACAAAATAAGCTTTTGTAAACTGAACATGCCATATACAATTAAGAAATGACTTTGTAGGGCATATGTGAAAAACAAGGAATAGTGCTAAACAAATTTAGATAATGTTATCAGAAATTTGTTTGAAAGAATTTAATGATCCATAAGCTACTGAAGGAAAAAGAAACGGGTGATATTAGTCGCATAATATATTAGAGATATATGAAATAAATATTAACTAATCCAAATATCTTAGGTATTTAATATAGATATAATTATACAGGGTGTCCCAAAAGGTCGTTTACAAACTTAACATGCTGGTTTGTCATATCATGATGAACAAGATTTACATAGGAACTTGTGTCCGAAAATTAAAACTGCCACCGCTAGAGGGCGATAATTGCACGAAAACGGGAGAGTGGGAAAAACAATCATTTCAGGCGTGGACGTTGAAGGAGAAGGATGAATGAGTTTAGTAACGCAGAAATGGCCGACATGCATTACGTATAGGGAGGCACGGACGTACCTTGAGCGCTTCCCAAACAGACGTCAGCCAAGTCATGTTTTGCTTGGACGATTGCACTGCAGATTATGTGAATCAGGTGCTTTCGTAGCACGTAGCCTCATTGGTCGAGAACGTGCTACACGCACACCTGTCGTAGAGGAAACCGTGCTACAGGAGTATGCCATCAACCCGCAAAGAAGTCACCGAGAAAGTGAACGTGTCTTGGGTGTAGCTCGTTCCACCATAATGCGCATACTGCACGATGACACCCTTACCACTTCCAAAAAGAACAGGCATTGTGCACTGACGATTATCCCAAACGCATTGCATTCTCACGCTGGTATTTGCAACAGCGGGTCGTACAGAAAGATTTTCCACCATGGAGCTTGTTTTCTGATGAATCCTGCTTTACACGGGATGATGTCGTGAACCTGCACAACAAGCACGTATGGGCGCATGAAAACCCAAGATGTACACGTGCCCATGCACATCAACAACGTTTCAGCGTCAACGTTTGGGCTGGTATTATCGGTGACATGCTGATTGGCCCTTACCTTCTACCTGAACACCTCGACGGAAATACCTATCGCATTTTTTTAGAAAGAGTTTTGCCGGATCTGATGGGTGACGTTCCAGCCGCTAAACGCCGAAACATCTGGTTTCAGCATGATGGAGCGCCTGCCCACTTTAGCTACGCTGTTCGAGAATACCTCGATAGGATTTATCCTAATCGCTGGATCGGTAGAGGTGGACCTGTCCCATGGCCGCCGCGATCCCCCGACCTGACTCCCCTGGATTTCTACCTGTGGGGACACATGAAATCCATAGTGTACGAGACACCTGTAACATCGGACATGGATCTTATCGCCACGATCGCGGAAGCGGCAGCACGTGTTCGTGACACTCCCGGCCAATTTGAACGGATTCGTGAATCCATGCGCCGACGCTGTGAAACGTGCATTGTGGTGAAAGAAAGGAATTTTGAGCATTTGCTGTGATGTAATGATGTTTTATAATAAAAATATCATATTAACACCGCTAACGATATCATTTTTTTTCTCCTCATCCAAACCTGCACTTATCGCCCTTTAGCGGTCTCAGTTTTAATTTTCGGACACAAGTTCCTATGTAAATCTTGTTCATCATGATATAACAGACCAGCATGTTAAGTTTGTAAACGACCTTTTGGGACACCCTGTATAGATATCTGATATGTTTACATCTATGCAAATATAAACGGACTGTTTTGAAACGTTTCTTTTCAGTTTAGTTCAGTGTGGATTCCAAAGAAAACATAGATAAGAACATATGAGAAAGATAAGATTATTTTGTTTATTTTTTCTACTTTTTTTGATTAAGACCTCTGTAATTTATACTCGAAATGAAGAATAAAACACCTCTAAGAAAAAGATTGTATAAAATTTGATACTGAATTTTTGTTTTGTTCTTAAAACTACAACTCTTGAACTACTAATGAAATTTCTAGAAAAATAGTGTATATAATTAAGTCTTAAAGTCTCTATGGGCTGTCGCGCCACTGAGTTTAGTTTTTAATTAAATCTTAAAAGTATTTCTAAATTTAAACTTTGTAAAATGAAATATAGCAGAACACATAAATTACGCTTACTAGCACGTTAAATTCTTATATCAAAACATGAAGGAATGATCGGAATAAAAGATTTATAATTCTCAAAACTACTACATATACTACAATAAGTAGTTCGCAAAGTTAAAGGGAAAAAAATATTGTTTTTATTTTCAGTTACAAATATTTGATGTGTTTATGACAAACGTCTATTCTGAGATCAAGTTCGTTCAAAATATTTTTTAGTTTCTAAAATGGTATCTGATGCTCTTTGGTATCTAATGCTACAAAAGTGATTTCTTTTCCAGTATTTTCTGCAGCAGTGGTTCATAAAAAGGGCCTTTGACGAGCTAGTGGAGATACAGAGATTAGTTCTTACGGAGCATTCTCACCGTTGCTACAACTCCGATTGCCATCGAGGAGCAAAATTGGTTGGTTTTTTTCGCTGGAAAATATTGTTGTTGTTGTTGTTACTTTACGTCGCACTAGAGCTGCACAATGGGCTATTGCTAGAAAATATATTTCACCAATTTGGTTTTCATATTTCCTCAACGGTGATCGGAGGTGCAGCAATTGCGTTCAGTGAGAATGCTGCCTTACTTGTATGATCATCATGATTTCCGTACTTCAACGCCGTATGATTGTTTTTGTAGGGTTTTTATAGGGCAATGCCAGAAACTTTGTACGAACTTAACGAACACATTATCACAACATTGAGAACAACTGACGGTGGAAAACTATAAATTCTAAGGTACCAGCTAAGACTTATTGCGTAGAAAACGGGTCAGTTAACGAACATTTGTAATAGGAAGCAGAAACTTGGTACATTATATTGGAGTACTTTTCTTTAATGTCGTGCATTATTTATTGCAATATGTGAAATAGCTTCGAAAATATAAATTTTTAAAACACAGTCAGTCATTTTTGCTGACCCTGTATATCATATTTAGTTTATTGTTAATAATCGAATTCATAAACTAATGAAGAAAAAAAGTATAGAAAATAAAAAGATATCTTGAAATATTTGATGGTACTCACGTCCACTAGAGGTGATATGATTGGTTCATCGTAATTTCTTCGCCCAACGCTAAGGGAACGCCGTCCGAAGCTGAAAATATGTAATGAGAACAATATTAGCTGGTCAATGTCATTAATAGTCACAGACAATGTGCAAAATAATTTAAAAATCAGAACAAATTAGTATCATTAAAGTAGTTTGCTAAAGCATAATTAGTATTGCTAAATTAAATCAATTCCCGCGTAAAATAAATTCCTTATAGATTAATTAAAAAAATTTAACTTTTAAAGTGTTTGAATGTGTAAAACGGAAACGAAGATTCAAATTATCAAGTTTATATTAATTCAAACGGAGCTAGAAAAATATGGAGAAGGAATACTTTGGTGCAGACAAATAATATGTAACGTTTATACATAGTGCTACAAAAAGGATGGCCTGGAGTTAGAATCTGTTTCATATGATATCCTAAGGACAATTATATGGATCTCATTTCCTGCTTAATAAGTCATTGATTAATATTTTGGAATATTTTTTGCCAATTTCATTCACTAAAATGTGTTTTACGGAACTTAATTACAAATATTTAGTTTCTGACACTCTATGTATTGTTAATTCTAAAATAAAGAGAAAGCTGGAAGATGTTGGAGTTTGGGCCCAATAAAGATAACTAAAATTATTCCCCTTCGAGGCCGAGCTTCATAAAAAAGTGTAAGAGAAAAATTATGATTTATTTTATATTTGAAAATCTCACAACTTCTAAACTATTAATCAAATAGAATTGTTATTTCTCGTTTTCGATTTAGCGTTAAACAATCTGCTTGACTATTTTCTTTGTCCATAATAGTAATACCAGACGCGTGCTTCAGTAAGAACACGTCTTTAAAGTCATCTCACTATCCTCAATTTGCGCTCTTATTTTCACATTTTGTAACATGGCAAACTTATTACAAAAATATTTTTAAAGATGCCGGTAGGTGGAAGCATATTTGAATTCGATACTCGCTTTAGATGCTTCATTTTGAATTTTTCTTGAATATTCATTTTATATTTTTTGCTTGATTTGTTTTATTTTGTAGTTTGTAGTATTCGGAAGCACTCTTTTTTGAGGATATAATCATGTGAGCTGAAGACAAGATTATATCTTTTCCGTATTTCGCTTTGTGGCATTTTTATTATTTTTTGACATTTTTTTTTATGTATTTTTCAAAAATATTTCATTTGCTTATAATTTGTCTTTTTCTCTTTTCTGACATATGACCCTCTGAAGGCAAGCAGCCGCTTGAGGGAGCGAAATAAAATTTTGTACATTATTCTTTACAATCTGTGCGCTCAAGAATGATGTTAAAAAAGATTGCGCTGCTCATACGGCTACAGTTACAGTAACGAAATTTCAAACGGAAACACAAACTTTTTTTTTATTTATCAAAACGTAATTCTTGTTCTGAAAAACCTAAAATGGAATGGAAATGATATTTTTAAAGAAATTATTATAAAAAAAATACGACTCAATGTTTTTGCCAAGCGTTGCCATTTTTAGTGACTACAATCGAGAGGAGAAAATGATAAATACTTTTCAAAACAGAGAAAAAATTATGGACATTACAGATATGCGAGGACGAACATATCAAAAAATTTTAAAACATAAGATGCTTCCTTTGCGATTCTTTCTATTTTTATCAGACACTTTCTTCACGTTAGTGGTGATTGAACAAACGGTATGAACGGTAACAAAATTAGAGTTTTCTTATCTAGTAAATAAAAGCAGCGAGAAAATAATAAATAAGGAAAAGTATTGATAAATGCTTGTGAAATAGCTATAATTAGAAAGTAAAATAAAGTAAATAAAAAGTTCAGCAGCATTAATTGTTGTTAACCTATTTTCTTTTCCGCGCTTGATTAACTCTATCTGAAGCAAAAATTAGCTTATTTTGTAGGAATATTAAAAAAAGTATTTTGAATTAACATTATCACCGTGAGAAAAAAAATTCATTTCAGAGAAATTTTTTTTTACCAATTATCATTTAATAGAGGCTTATTGTAGAAGTATTATCTAACATAAATGAGAAGTTATATTTTTCATTTACATTTTTTATGCATGCAGTTATTCATTTTCTCTTAAAGAATAAGACATTTTGATGAAAAAATTCTTGTTTTTTCATGGCTAAATCAAATTGTCACGACTTTCAATAGTTCGATTATCAAGTACAGTGGACATATTTTTCACAATGTTTCAGTTTACGCCCCAAAAATACCATTGTAAAATAATTAAAAAAATGCAAAACCATCTGGAGCCCGAAAAAGAGTAAGACCAAGGATCCGGTGGATCGACTGGCAAGAAACAGATTTAATAATTCTTAAAAGTTATAAACTGGAAGAATCTATCCAAGAAGAGAGCAGCTTGAAACTTTTGAGGAAGGTTATGGCCCAGCCTGGGCTGACGCCTCATTGAAGAAGAGGAAAAATCTGTAAAAGCCTGTTTATCTTTTATTTTCGTGGTTATTCATGTAAATATTTACGATGTCAATATAAATGCTCTTACACATGGTGTACATATATATATATATATATATATACACATACAT